TAGCCGCGTCGTCTCACACACGGCGTGTCACCAGTGCCGCGCATGGGACCAGGGGACGGTTCCGCGAATGCAAAGTCAAAAACTCTCTCTCTCTCTCTCTCTCTCTCTCTCTCTCTCTCTCTCTGTCTCTATGCAGCTATTCTTTTTTGTGAGTGTACCAATGGGGTGTACCAATGGTTCGACATCCCAAGCACAAAAACTGCCTGAACTGCTTGCTCTCGGATACGCAACACAGCAAGACACAATACGGTTGTGCTGCCATGGACTTCCGTCAGCTTCCTTCGTGCATTGCCTGCAATTTCTGGCCGCGCTTCGCAGCATTGTTTGAGGGTGGTGTGGCTGTCGGGGACCATGCTCAGTGATTCCGTAAGGTAAGGACCCGTGTTCCATGTGAGCCTAAACAATGACGTCTCTGCCATTGCGCAACTCTTGCAAAGAGTAAAGTGTTATCGTCGGCACATGTGGCTGTTACGGTAACCATTAAGCAGTTGCTGCTGTGAAACAGCATTTCGGACCAGACGCAATGGTGGCAGTTGGATGCTGTTGCGCCGAAGAGGGCGCAAGCATGCAGGTCGGTTTCTCGCAGACATTCTGCTGGACGTGACTGGCGTGCTTGGCAGGAGTACTCCAGCTGAAACATGGCAGGACGGTCGTAGGGATCTTACTTGTACATAACAACACCGCACCCGGAGTGAAGCTTTAGTGCAAACTGTTGTGGACTAAGGCCGGATTCCGTGACTCGTTCCTTGAGCGCATGTGCGCTACGCTGGGGGCGCAGACAAGAGACGTAGGCAGCACACGTCAACTGCATATCGCTCATTGACCATAGTCTCAGGCAGCCAGGATGCGAGAAGACCTAGCTCAAAGACGCTGAAGGTGGCACTGTGCTTGACAACAGCTGACCCACGGCGGCAACTCGTGCAAAGATGCAGGACTTCCCTTTTGCTTTGAGCTCTACGCTGACGGAGCAGAGGGGTCCCAGCCCTCAAGGACACACTCGTTGGCTAATGCAGGGTGTCAACCACTTCAATCGTTTGCTTCAGAGATTTGGTGAGTTTCCTGCAGGCAGTCCTTGCAGGTCGTGCCTGCCGATGGGTGTGACAAAGTCTATCAAATGTAGCTCAGGTTTCAGTCAATGCAGGATGATCCGCGCCGACACGCTGAGCCGCCTTCTTTCAACGGGTCACTGCTACGAGTGTGCTCGTCAGCCGAGACAACAACTACTGCAACATTAGTAGCACCACCACACCACCCTCACCACATTCGGTTGTGCATCATCAACAGTGTCCGTCTATCAAGATGATTCATCTCTGGAGCCACGAAGACTAGCGGCATCGTCGACGGCTCCGACAATTTGCCATTGCTGAAGTTTCATCGCGCATCTCACACCCGGGCTTCTCCTCTGGTGTGCCACCCGCAGCACTATCACTGGTAGGCGAGTAGCACGAAGTAGCCTCACCTAACACATCACATCACTCGGATGCGTACTCATCGGAAGACAGCAACGTCAATCCATGCCGCATCGTTGTCCTTTGGCTTTTCTTGAAACGTGCTTGCATCTGCAGCTTCGTGATGTAGGCACTCTTTTTGTCGTTTCCCCACCATTGTCTTTGTCACCACAATTGTCTTGCTTGGTGTCGCTGTCATCCGTGGTTGGTGCCGCTTCCTCGAGAGGCACCCCCTCGCTCTCTGTCTTTCTTGATGTGCAAGCACATCTGTTGCGGGCACACATGTGTGGGTTGTGGGCTCTGAGCGGCAGCAGCCTCATGACAGTCAAGTGGCAAGGAGCTAGCAACTTCAGCAACTCCGCACCTCTCTTCGGAAGGCTGGTGGCTGGTGGGGACTCTTCTTTTGTTGATAGGCAGAAGCATGAGCTTCAGGCGAAGGACATCCGCACCCTCCTCCGGTCGCCCACGGACGGGACCAGGCGAGACCGGTTTTGAAGGGACAGCGTAGAGCCTAAGGGCCCAGATAGGGGTTCCCTCTAAGGTGGCCAGCGGCGGCCGATGACCTCTTCGATGCCCTTAGCAGGGAAGGATCCGGCACGAATAAGACCTCGACCTGGATGAATGCTGCAAGCAGAGCTCCAGGATGGTCATCTCAGCTTCCCGACTTTGGCTTCCACCTTTTCAGCGGCATTGCCATCGAAGGCCTCCGCTGCATTGCGCTGCATCGGTTGTCGGCCAGGAAGTGCATGTGAGAGAGCTCCATGGGACGCTGCCGCAAGTTTTTGTTCTCATCGAATGCATCGGGCTCTGTACTCCCAACCCGTCAGTGTGTGCAACGTCCATTTCGGTAGGTCAGGTGCTCTTATCCCGAATCACTCGTGTGCTCAAGACTCCCTAAGCTTAGAAGGCCTTTGATCATGGCGCTAGCAGATGCAGAGGGTGCACAGCTAACCTCCAGGGTGAGAACCTGCATAAGGTATCAGAAGGTTCTATGCAGTTTCGCTCAAGCATTTCCAGCCCAGCCAAAGACGTGCGTCTTGCAGCGAACGTTGTACAGAGATAAGCTTGTGACATGCACCGTTCTGCTGGTCATGTCGTTAAGCTTAGTCGCCGCATTCAGATATGCGGGCGTCCGCCTCCGGCTGCTGCGTGGGAACATTGTACACTGGCAAGGAGACTGCATCGTAAACGCTGCGAACGTGCACCTGGAACCCAGTCGGCAACCGGAATATTGGCGCCACATTGGGCGCCGTGATGTGAATTCGGCGGTCCATGATCGCGCAGGAGCAATGCCTATTCTTGCTGTCTCTTCGAAGATGCTGGGAAGTGCTTCGTGACAAGATGTGAATTCGTCATTCTGTGCAATTGTATGAAGGACCTTCGTTGGCGAAGGAGTGTCTTTCCTTGCCTCTGGTGGAGAGCGAAGCTTCAAGCGAGGATTGGGTGGCTTCTGCCCCTGGCCATGGAGGTAAGGTACGCTGCCCGCGTGGAGAGGCACGACTGACGGGCGGCCACCTGCTCCAGTGCAAGCACCTGATTCATGCTGTTGGCCACTCCATGGTCTTAGCACAGGTTTTGGGTATGCTTTGACTGCAGCTTCAGTTCAGAGGCTTCCTCTTCGTGTCATGAAGTAAAGGCGGCTTTCGGGACCGTGGACATAAGTGAAATTCCACACGCATTCCTGCAACATGATTTATTGTACCAGGGCAGCTGGTCTGGCCGTGTGTTGCTGGTAGCTCGGGACTGAATCTTGCTTCTAATGCAAGGACCCGACTACGACACAGCCGTACGTTGTGCGGGGTCTGCGAAAGCAACGGCAGAAGCTCATGAGAAGGCAAAACAGCTGCTGGCAGATACGTACAAAAATGCTTTCACTCTGGCGAACAAAGTGTCTGACTCGCATTTTAGAGTCCGGGGAATTGCGCCCATGGAAACAACGCGCAGTCTGCTTGGCTGAGGCATCTGCAAGATCGGTTGCACTTCCTGCGATCTCCTGCGGTGTCAATGGCTTTGGTGGCTATGATTCCTTGGACTGCGCGGCTAAGGCCGGAGCCCTTTAGCCGGTGAAGCTTCACGACACATCTTCGGCATGGCGGCCGTTTGTTGCATCCTCTCCGCTCTCTAAAGCTTCAGCCGGTGACCAAACTCTTCTCAAAACAGGTGTGTGTCGGTGGTATGGACTGCATGACGTGGTAGAGAAAGGAGCAGCCTTTTTCACGGGAAGCTGGCCGACAAAAAGTTAGGTTTGACAACGTCTCTGTGCTGTGATCGGTTGCAAGGTGTCCATCCAAGCAGCTTTGGAGAATGTCGGGAACGTCCAGTCCATTGATCTTGAACTGCACTAGTGACTAGTGGGATCCGTCATGCTTGTAGAGAGGGTGCACGTGTGCTTGTTTGCTGCTGCGCGCTGTTCACTTCTCTGTCAAGCAGAAGTGTCCCAGCAAGAGGTTGTCAAAAGCATCCTCCTCCCCAGGATTTCATTCTGTATGATGCGATCTGTTCGGAAGCTTGGGAGGAGGCGGCTTGCATCACTGCCACGAGGGTACAGCTTCGCCTAGTCTTCCACAGTCTCTGTGTGACACACAACTTTTGAGCTGAATCGACGAGGCTGCAGATGCCAACGAAGGCTTGCTGCGAGATGATCAATGATGGCCTGCAAAGCTGAAGATGCCAAAAAGCTGAGAGCTCGGTGAGGGCAGTCGGCTTTCGACCTCCTGCTCTGTGGGATCAGAGCAGTTCGTGCAGGATGGTAAGAAGGTCACAAGGTGGCTGACTGGCCCGTGCCGTGGACAGTCCAGGAAATTCGGCATCAAGAACGAGGGTAAGTGCCAACAGCGGACCCTGGGTCTCTGTGAGGAGTCATGGAAACGAAGCTGGAATGGATGAGCTCGTCTTTGGCCGGCATGGCTGTGATCCGCACCATGCGGCCACTGCACGAGGGAGAGCCAGGGCGTGCCATGCATGCCTATGATTCAAGAGAGCTCGAGGAGCTGACCGATGGCCGTCACTGTTTTTTTTAGGGCCTGCTGGGATGTGGTCACTGTCCGGATCGCCTGTGTCCAGCCTGTGCTTCGGCACACATGGTTCAGCATCGGAAAAATGAGTCCCGGCCAGATTGTAATCGTCGTGGCTGTGTTGCTTGCGATCTTCCTTGGTCAGGCACAGCAGCTGCTGAGACAGCGGAAGAAGATGGCCAAGCAGGAGGCCCAATCGGGCCAAGGGGTCAAAGACGTTGTTGCGACATCCTGGCCACACGGTCATAAGATTTTCGAGCAGCTTGAAGCCTAGCAACAATTAGCAACCCAGCCATGTCTGAACCCTACATCCCAAACCCTATGGGTTCTGGATGCTTGACGTCTTCAAGCTCTAAGCCTCTAAGACTCTAAGCCCTCAAGCATCAAGGAGAAACCCTGAGCCGACAAAGCACCAAAAGCCTCCATCCTCGATCCCACAACCTTAGATCTGCAAGAAGGCGGCCAAACCCAGACCCCTATCACGTATACCCCAAGCCCTAGACCCTCTCAGTAAATCCCATGCTTGAGACCCGAGATGCCAAAGCTACAAACCAGATCCTGAACCAGACACTGCTGCACCACTGCAGCTGCGATGCCATTCAGGTCAAGGGTATTCAAGGGTCACGTTGAAGATGAAACCCGACGAAACAAGGAGGGGTGGGCTCGTGGACTGAACAGCTCCAAGCCCAACGCGATGAGGACCCTGAAAGAAGGGAAGAGTGGGTGATGCAAGGCGGCTCCTCGTACCAGGTTCCAAGAAGGAGCCTCACGATGGCTTTTGGAGGGGCGAAAGACAGCCGACCTGCTTCAGACACCAAAGCCAAGCATCAGAACCCGAAAAGCGGGCCGCGGTCTGGACGAAGCAACGGCAACAACTATAGGCTGCTGTGTGGTCCACGCCCCCCCCCCCCGCGTGCACCAGCACGTCCCAACTCCCGCACACCTCTAGAAGCAGGGCAGATTTGCGTCAAATGGCTCTGGTGGTTGCTGTGAGACACGCTTGTGGCTTCACCAGCTTCGGCCGAAGCTACTGGAGTCAGAAGGACGCGAAGGATACTTTGAGGATCCTGGATGCTCTTGGGTTAGGACGTACAAATAGGTCACCGAATCGTCACAGCTGACCACATCAAAGATATAAGACCCAGGTTTGTTGAGAATCGATCAGTTCTCGAGCGGTCTTCTAGATTCATCGATTCGTGAGACAGTAATAGTGATGCGCAATAATACTGGTCATATGCTGAAGAATCGCTGCATTCCAGTTCACTACCCAGACTGTGATGCCTCACCCTGTGAATGCAGAGGCGACGTAAGCTCAGCCAACTTTCGTGCATTTGCCTTGCACTCAAAAGACACATGTTGGCAGGTAAATGAGGTCATGAAGTTTGACGACGCATTCGACATGGCCAAAGTAAGGGCCGTGCAGCGTCGGAGCCCCGGCAAACTCTGCTAGGTTGCAGGGCAACACAGACTAACACTTGAGACACATTGGCAATTCATTGTGTCTTTCATTCAATATGGGCTTTTGCATGTCGCATTCTTGCAAGGTACTGCAGCGGAGAGGAAGATGCTGAGCCAGCTGCTGTGAGCTTAAGCTCGGGTGCAGGTCACATGGGAAGCGCGCTCCATAAGAGATGTCTGTGAGCGGCCAGGTAGCGAGAGATATCTCCTGCGTCCACTTCACTTTTCAAGCCTTCTTCGGTGTCACAGTTCTGTTGCAGATTCTAATGATTATCCTGAGGCCGATACAGGTAGGGAACAGCGGATCTCCCATGTGCGTCAGAGAGCTGCTCGGACTGCCGCATACTCAGATCCGAGGGCGAGGCGAAGTGCTGCCTACAGGACTCAGCGATTCAGCAGCTGAGGAGGAAGATCTCGAGCACAAGCCTCTTCAGCCGCCGGAAGTCAAATGACTCCCTCTGGGCTGGTGACCCAGGGTCCAACAACGAAAGCTCCATCTGCGTCGAACTGCTCCGAGGGCTCTATGGTGCTGTCCAAGATCCCGGGCAGCAAGGAAGAAGCCGAGTCCGAGAAGGTTTTGGAGGCTGCTTTGTTGCTCGTCTTCCGACATTCGTGACTTGCGCCTAACCTGCCAGGGTCGGCGAAAAAGCTCCATCAAGCAAAGTTTCAACTCTGCTGGCTGCCTAGATCGGATGCTACAAGCTGCATCATACAAATTCCTTAGTCCTGGTTACTGCGGATGCTCGGTCTTGCCGAGTTTGGAGATGTGGTCGTTGCGGCACAAGCGGCAGCGCAACCCTCAGACGAATCGATCATGTAGTCTTGATGGCGACCGATTTGATTTGGTGTGCAGCCGCAAAACGTGCGCTTCTGTTTTGGTGTGGATGCTGCTGGTGTGAATGTTGTGCCGCTGCACACTTCCGCAAATCGTGAAGAAGTGCCGAATTCCCAGGCTCGCAAAGATCTTCTGGACAGCTCGCCTCGATCTGCGAAAGGAGGCAGGTGCGGGCAGCGGGAGGAGGAGGAGGAACCTCGCGTCTGAATGGAGTCCATTCCGATGCCTAAACTGCAATAGGGATGCAGTGAGATCCATCAATATACAGAGCATACGCAGTCAGTGGCCCCATGAGCTAATGGCGCAGGCGAATCACGGAGGAACTCCTTGAGAAGAGGATCCATAGCCGAAGAGACTGTGGCCAGGCTTCTGCGCCGCAGTGTGGCTTGACAGCAGTGTGATAGTACTGTGATAGTAGTACCCGCAAAACCAAGCCGTCGTGTTTCGGATGCATCCCTCCCTCGTTCTCCAAACAGAGGGTGTCTCCTGTCCGAAGCCAGCGCGAAGCACTCAGGCTTTCAACAACGCAGATTTGAAGGATCAGTTCGAGCTGAAGGAGATCTTAGATCCGCCGGTGATTCTGGCACGTTTGTGTGCCTACGCTTAGCGGCTTAGCGTTGAGCTTCGTCCTTCCTGCAAGCATCGGTAGTACTTCATCAGAGGCTCCCGCCGAGATGTACACCCGCTTCAAGGCCTTGGAGCAGCTCCTCCATACTTTCTATACCCTCCAGCTTTGCGCAGAGCATAGCACCCATAGACACATGAGGAGTAAAGAGGGAAGCGTGACGGAAAAGCTGGATGATCCGTTTTCCCTGGCTAAGCATCGCGACTTCAAGAGCCCTCAATTCAACATCGAAGCTTGAAGTCAAGACGGGCTGAACCCTTTCGACTCTCACTCGGCATGCTGTAACGTTTAAAGCTGACAGCAAGTTCGTTGCCGTTCCTACTCGCGCACGCGTCATGACATGTCGTGGCATATCATGGCCTTCACTTGGTGGCTTGTTGCCAAGAAAAGGACACAAAGGCTTTTGACGTCTCCGCAGGTGGAGGACATCTCCAGCTTTCCAGCATCCGAGCAGGACGGCAGTGAAGGGGTCGTGCCAGGCAGCAGACCGGCATTGTGCTAGAGCCGCTTTCGCATTGATGTCCTCGAATGAGGAGCGAATCAGGGAGGCCTTCTATCGCTTCAAGAGTATTGGTAGTCCCTAAGATGCATCTGGAAGCAGACAGATTCCCCGGTCCGGGGTCCTCGAGCTTCGAATTTCGGAGCCGCTCAGGTTCGGACATTGATGCAGGGCTCTCAGTCTTTCGCTTCTCGGGGCCGCTTCTTCAACAACATTTGGTGAAAGCATCGCCTCCCACCACGTCTTTTCGGGGCCGTTGATCGCATTCCTACCACTTTCTTGTGACCACCTGCGTGTAACGCAGACATTGACGCTTCCATGTCGGCAACGCCCTTTCTTCGTCTCTGCATGTCCATTGACCGATCCAAATGCGCTTCGACGGCTTTTGCAACTTTTGTGGTCATTTCGACATCGTCGAAAAGTCGATGGCGATCGAACCTTCGCGCATGGTCTCGTATCGTGCTTGCTTATGCCAGACAGCCGAGGTTGACGACCTTGAAAAGGCATTGATTCATCTGGGTTACCTCAAGATTGATGCCCAGGCCACAGTGCTTCGACACTGTAGCCGAGCTTTGGCCACTGTGCCGTGGCGTGCGTGTTTTCTCCCGCATCAACACCACCGGCCACGTTTGTCGAAGGCAGTGCTCCCGCGCGGAGACATGCATGCCAGACGAAACATCCAAGAATCTCATGGACCTTAGCTGCATCTGCATGACCCGAAAGACCTACTCGCGAAAGGCGACTTTAGTCATCTCGACACGTTGGAAGCGTGTACCATGCATGGAGCCAACGGGTTAACCTTGCATGGCTTTGTAGTCGAGGCGGAATTCCGACAGACTCGAGACGAGACATCCATGAGCCCTTGCAATAGCATCATGTCGGAGCTTAGACCATAAGAATGGGTCGGTAACAGCCTATGGACTGTGACCCGCATGGCGGCGTTCGACCGGGTGCTGCTTTCCCTTTTCAGCATCTGAGCTGCAGGAATTTCATGTCAGAGGACCTCTTGCATAGGGACCTAGCTGCCGCGCGTGTCAGCCGAGGTGGCGGTGGGTTGTGTGGCTGCTGCAAGCCAGAGACGTCAAATTCAGTGGCCATGGACCGTTGGTTCCGTGGTGTTCTGCGACGGTGTCATGCTGATATCGTGCTGGCTATGATGTGCCAGGACATTTTGCAGCTCAAATCCTACCAAGACGAGTGGGATCGGACTCAACGCGCCATAGAACTGGCCAAACGCGAGCAGGTAGCCAAGGAGGCTGGGTTCTATTCAGCCAAGAAGGGAAGCCGACAGGGAGAGGAGGAAAGAACGCTCTAAGGTATTCTGAGGTTCAGGCCTTAAAGTCCCTCTTTTAAGACTTAAGAGCCCTAAACCCTAAACCCTATATAGGTCCCTCTGAAGAGCCCTAAACCCTAAACCCTGGCCTAAACCCTATATAGGTCCCGCTTAGGAGCCTGCTTTCTTTTCCCCTGTGTTACCAGGCGGAAATCCGTCAAAAGGCGGCGAGCCGCGCCGCGGAGCTCCTGGCTGAGCGAGGGGACCTGGAGGCGGAGGGCAACATATGTAAACACTAATACATTAGAATATAGCATAATTTAACATAGTATAATATAATAGGCAACATTTGTATTTCAGGGTCGAGGGGTTTAGGGGTTTAGGGGTTTTGGGTCTAGGGGTTTTGGGGTTTAGGGGTTAGGGGTTTAAGGTTTAGGGCTTAGGGAGGCCCTATGGTGCAGGCTTCGCATTTTTGTTCATGCTGGTTCCCTGTAGCTGCTGAGCTCGTGGCAAATT